TCTCTCTTCCCACTGGGTATGTGGTTAATCACTATAAACTATGGAGGAGAGTTTTGCAATTTAGTGTTTGAGACTTCTACCAGAGACCAAAACAAACATCAATATTGATAGAGAAAGTATACCATATTTCTTACCACTTGGCAAAATTGATTGGAAAAAATTTCTGAAATTACAATTGATTCGCTAGTGCTGAGCAAGGTGATAAGAGAACAACATGTCCTGGTCCTCTGCAATACTTCATCCTTAGCCTCCAGTTAACTCTGAATGGAGACCTCATGACTTGCTATATATTGAATGGAACTAAAAGAAATTTAATGAATTTCATCAAATCAATTATACAATTAAATAGCATATGAAGATGTCATTGTATCTGTGCACTTTAAATTAGTTCTATTTGAATTCAAGGCTTTTTGGACATAAAAATAAATTGACCCATCTCTAGCGCTTAAAATGGAGGTAAGTTGACTACCTTTCAGAACATTACTAAATAATATGATACTAAAATCTGAGTGTTCTAAGCACTGATCTCATGAACTGTTTATAATTCAAATCTAAAGAAAAGACCAAATTATCTACTAAAAAAATCTGATTCACTCACCTTCAGTTTCTACGTACATTTTTAAAATACATAATGCTATTGTAAATATATTTGTAATCTCTATGAGAAATATGAACTTTAAAGCAGGTGAGCCTTATGTTCTAACCTTCAGACTGCTACTTACTAGCTCTAGAACTTTGGGAAAGTAATTTAACCTCTCTGAGCATATAAATGCAGGCTTCTGCCTACCAAATTAGTGTTTTATAAACTAGAAATTTTTTTGGACAAACTTCTTTGTCCTGCTAAGCCAAACTGCAATGCATTAGCTGAGTGGAAAAGATGACTGCTATTATTCATCCCTATAGTCCAGCATGAAGATGGAAGTTTTGTATGGTATTTGGAAGCCTTCCATACATTCATAGGGATACGCGATAATTTGAGAAAATATGAAAGTAAACATTTTTTATCATGAAAAGAAAATAGAAAAACCATGAAGTATATCTAGAATAGACAAGTGTCTTGAGATCAAAGTTTATTAGTAGTTACCAGGGGTAGGTGGGAGGGAGGGGAAAAGGAAGACACAATGCTTCATGGACACTGAGCTTCTGTTAAGGGTGACGGAAAAATTTAAGAAGGGTTAATGGTGATGACTGAACAACATAATGAATGTATAACATGTTGCTAAACGGTACATGTGAAGAAGGTAGAAATGGCAAATGTTTTGTTACCTATATATTTACCACAATAAAAAAGAAAGAAAGAATACTCGTAGTGTTACAGAAGATAAAACTGATGTCCAAAGTTATTAACTAACTGGCCCAATTATACATTAACTTACTGGCAGATTTGAATTAAAACTTATTACCTGTCTTATTTCGATGCTCTTCCATAGTGCAGCTTAAAAAGAAGCTTCCAAGGCTTTGTTGAATCTCATCTTTTTTAATGTTCTAGCTCAGATATGGAATGAGAAAATCCAGTAGAGAGGTGACAGACATAAGGTCAACCAATATACAGGTAAAAAAAGGAGGTGATGATGTGTTCTATACTATGGGTTAAAATATTCTAAGATGATCACAGATAAGATTTGTAAAATCCCATGAGCAACTTTCTAAAATCTTTTCCTTCCATTAATTTCTGTTGTAACCCAGTAGCTATGCTCCCTTTTTCATTGCCTTGGTACTGCACATAATTCAAATGTTCTGTTTTTCTGTCCAGTTGAATGCTTGCTACTGAAAATGAGAATAACATTATCTGGAGATGCTGGCAAAGGTAGAGGGATCTCCTCTATGGCCTTTGAAGTATTAGCCACAATGGCAAACAATTGGCACAGGTATTAACAGGTAAATAATCAGTAGCCTATCTGATGATAGAATTTCAGAGGTGCAGATAAGGACTTCCTAGTTTTGGTTATTTTTTTTAGTTATTAACAAACCCTGCAGTCCTAAAAGTAGGGATAAAAACCAAAATTCAAATTACTTAAAACTACTAAAATTCAAAACGATACTACAACTATTTAATCTGAAGATACAAGATACACTTTCAAGAGTGGATAAATATTTGAGGTTACTGTGTGTTTGGAAGATGAACAAATGTGCACAAAAATGAGTAAAGCAGAAAATGAGAGGTCAGTGCTCTGAAATTTCCCAAGTTTCCTCCCCACCTTTCTTCCTGGCCCCATCGTTCTTATTCTGCTCCAGTGCTTCCTACTGGAGTGATAAATATTCTTTTTCACTTCTCTGTGACCTCACTGACTACAGAACTTGGGGAGATATTACATCTGACAGGAAACATTAACCAATATATTGTATTGATGACAAAAGCAGTTTATGACTTTTATAAGTATTGAATTTCAGAGTGAAGGGCTCAATTGATTTGCAAAGGAGTTAACTGACTCCTCCTTCTTCTGTAAGTTCAACAGAGAGGGCCTCTGAGTTCTAGAGGAAAAACACCAGATCTAGGGCCAGTCAGGAAAGGCAACTGTCCCAGGTTAGAGGAGAAAACACATGCAAAGTCCTCATTGATAAGATACCTCCTGAACAAAAATATGAATTATTTCACTTTTCAATATTGCAGTTAGGGCAAACTTACACCTTATTGTTCAAATAGGAGCACTTCTGAGAATGGGAGGGGCTCCATTAGTGACTATGTCAGGACACCAGGAGTAAATTAGGCAATCCCGGTAAACAGGGCCATCCCAACTATGTAGACTTGAGGGGATCTGTACAACACTCGAGGAAATTGTGAAGTATATGAAATCTCTCTTTACTGATACCATTTATCCTGTCTTGCCAAATTCCTTAGCAACATTATTTTGCCATAAAACATGCTCCCACACTCCATCCTTTAGAAAAGCTTCTTGCAGAGCCTTTCTTTAAAAGAAATTTTAAAGAAGTATTAAGGTTTAAAAAATTAAATTTCTTATAAAGATTTGCACCCTTTTGGGGGTCAAAGTCTTAAACAAAAGCAATGTTAGTTTAAGAGTAAAATAAGGAAAGTGAGCTAGTGAGTAGTTTCTTTTTTTAAAATTATTATAAAATTAATGCCTGTTTCATAAAAAATTAGAACAAAAAAACATTATAAGTAAATTCTGCTTTACTCTCACCATCCCCTTTTCCCAGGGGTAACACTTCCTTCTGTTTCTTTAAACATAACATTTTATTTATATGTAAGCACTTACAAATATATGATAACATGCCATGATATGATATCTTCTTTCTTTAACTGATGGGATCATGCAATATAAATGTCCTGCAACTTTCTGTTTTCACTTAAAGATATATTTGAACATCATTTCATATCTATATCTATGACTATATACCTCAAATTTCTTATCAGCTGAGAGTAAGGGGACATTTTTGAGGGGATTAACAGCTCTAGAAAAAGTAGAAGATTAAAATACACATTGCTAACATTTTGATGAACATGAATAATAATAAAAAAGTTACATTCCCATATTGATAAAACAATTTAAAAATTTAGTGTCATGGTAAGCTTTAGTTGGGATGAATACATTTTTAGCTGATGGAATTGACTTATAATAGTACTTGCAGGAAATTTAGGACTCCAAATAGCCCCTGCCCAAAACATCTCAGAGGTCCTGCATCACTGTCATACTTCCAATACACGGCTGTGTTTATCTGTGCCAGACACTACACCAGGAAATTTACACTAAAGATCACATGTGTACTTCACTTCAGATGGTTACTATGATCCCTGTTGATGAGGTTGATGGTTTGGGGATTATAGCGGGAATGGAAAGGTGAGATTGCAAATTGCAGAACCATTTTCCATTAGTTATTGTTGTTAGCTGCCATTGAGTCATCTCCTGAGTCATACAGATCCCATGCATAATAGAACGAAAAGCTGCCCAGTCCTGTGCCATTCTCATGATTGGCTTGGGCTGAGACCATTTTTCAGAAGTAGATAGGTAGGCCTTTCCTCCTAGTCCTTCTCAGTCCCCTGAAACCTGTTCAGCATCATAGCAACACACAAGCCTTCATTAATGGACAGATGGTGGCTGTGCATGAGTTGCAATGGCCAGGAATTGAACCTGGGTCTCCCGTGTGGAAGGTGAGAATTCTACCACTGAACCACTGCTGCCCTCTTTCTTTTCCATTAGTAACCCTAGGAAATTTAAAGTTTTAAAAATCCTAAGTAATTCCTCTCTGAGCCCCTCAGAAACTTTGGATCACTATAGTTCTTTTCATCCACACTGCTCTTTTTCTAAATGTCAGAGGCTAAGCTGTGTTCATTTAATAAATCACTTATACTTCACATCAAGACAACTTAAAAAAGTATTATTAGATCAGAGGATAAGAAACATTCCCAAGGCAATGTAACTAATCAGGGGAGGTAGGAATATGAGCCCAGGCCTGTCAGACAGCAAATTCTGTGTTATTAAATAATGCTATACAACTTCTATGAGCTACTCACAGAAAAAGTATACATCTCCTTCAAATGTGTCTGATAACTTGCTAGATAAATTGTGGTTTTTGTTTATTTGTTTGTTTTTGCAGAAGGTGTGGAGTTAAACAATTTAACTGATTCACATAATCAGGGAATCTCATTGACATTGAGGAGAAATACCAAATGGCAGGAACTGTGTCTACATATACCTAATAGTAGGTATCTAGGTGGATAGAAGTGAGAACAATGTGTTTACATAACAACAAAAGATCAAAGGATAAATTCTGTGAACATTGAAACCGATGATATACTTTTAAATTTTTGAAATTCACTTTGCTAATATACTCTTACAAATACAGAAAACTCACTTGAAATACTTGGAAAGAAATATTTATATTTTTATCCATACATTTTTCAAATTATTGATAGTGTTGTTATATAAATTTCTGCAAATTGCTAGCAAAATGATTATAATAACTGACATAGCCAATACTTATGCCTTTATTGAATTGCTGGCTTTTTATATTTCAGGGTACCAAGAGTTGAACCATTTAACATGAATAAGGTAAATGAGAGCATCCTATGGGAATTCATCCTGTTAGGTTTCTCAGATCGACCATGGCTGGAGCTTCCGCTGTTTGTGGTGTTCCTGGTTTCCTATATCTTGACTATCTTAGGCAATCTTGCAATAATTCTTGTGTCACGTCTGGACTCCAAACTCCATACCCCCATGTATTTCTTTCTTACCAATCTGTCTCTCCTGGACCTTTGCTACACCACAAGTACAGTTCCACAAATGCTGATAAATATATGCAGCACCAGAAAGGTAATTAGTTATGGTGGCTGTGTGGCCCAACTTTTCATTTTCTTGGCCTTGGGTTCCACTGAATGTCTTCTCCTGGCTGTCATGTCCTTTGATAGGTTTGTAGCTATTTGTCGGCCTCTCCATTATTCAATCATCATGCACCAAAGGCTGTACCTCCAGTTGGCAGCTGCATCCTGGATTAGTGGCTTTAGCAACTCAGTATTGCAGTCCACCTTGACCCTTCAGATGCCACTGTGTGGCCACAAAGAAGTGGATCATTTTTTCTGTGAAGTCCCTGCTCTGCTCAAGTTGTCGTGTGTTGACACAACAGTAAATGAAGCTGAACTATTCTTCATCAGTGTGCTATTCCTTCTAATACCCTTGACACTCATCCTTATATCATATGCTTTCATTGCCCAAGCGGTGTTGCAAATACAGTCAGCTGAAGGTCGGCGGAAGGCATTTGGGACGTGTGGTTCCCACCTAATTGTGGTGTCACTTTTTTATGGCACTGCAATCTATATGTATATGCAACCACCATCTCCTGCTTCCAAGGACCGTGGAAAGATGGTGTCCCTTTTCTATGGAATCCTCACACCCATGTTGAACCCCCTTATATACACACTTAGAAACAAAGATGTAAAGGGAGCTTTTAAGGGTTTGGTTGCGAGGGTCTTCTTGATCAAAAAATAAGAAATATGATACGCCTTGCTAAAGACTTGAAATTTACTTAGCTAAATAATTAAATTCTCTCCTAGTTACTCTATTTTTGCTACTCTTAGGACCATTATGGTAATCGTCCTCAAATAAAATTTCATTGACAGAGAACATATTTTTTTTCCTACTGCTTAAATGTATTCATTGCACAAGTCCCCACAACTGGTCTTTTTAGATTCCCAAAGTAGTATAACCTTAAAATCTTTAAGATCTCAAGCTTTATACCACTGTTTTGTATACTTGGTGAAGAGTAGACATCTATGAGACTAGAATAAATGCTAGGAACCCTGTCTCCAGAAGTATAATATTTTTATTCACATACAAACACATTCACACACACAAACACACATACATTTTTTTTTTTCAGATAATTGTAGGAGGTCTCACAGAAAGCCATAAAACCATCCATAGCCCCCTCCTCTAAATTATAAATGTAAGGTCAATAGCCCTAGCTTAAATTTTTAGCATCATTCTCCCATCAACCCAATAATAAAATCCACAATGAGTTTTCTTCAACAGTTTTACCTACATCTTTCATTCTCTTGCCATGGTTCTGCACTATTTCTCCTTAATTGAACTGTTCTATTTTATCCACTCTCCCAGTACAATTCTAGCTACATTTTGGGTATTATTCAAAATTGTTCTTTGAAAAAAAATTTCCACGATTCCTCTACTATCTCCTTTAACCCATAAAACGCTTAGTCTAAACCAGAAAACATAGCACATCATATAATGATGTCCACTGCTTGTTGCATGCATTTTTCTTGTGCAAGATGAAAAGTTTGTTAATACCATATTAATTCTCTTGAGGTAAATAGCATAGACTGTAACTTACACTAGTTCCATCTCATCTTCAAAGCTAGTCAAAATGCTGAGGACTATGCTCACACACTGTGCATTAGTGTTTGCTGTGATATGTCAGAGAGCAACCATCTGTACTCTGATTAATGTAAAATTGAGAGATTTATTGAAAATATAGAATCAGCTTGAGTAGGGGATAGACTGGATTCCATAAAGTGGAATCTAGTAATCCAATATGGAGACTCAGCAGTGACATTTTGTAAGGGGGGAACAAAGAATATGAAGCACATTACTTGATTGGTATTTACTAATTTAGATCATTAAAAGACATTACTTGATTGGTAATTACAGGCTTAGATCATTGAAAGACATTACTTGATTGGTAGTAGATCATTATAAGGCAGGACTTCCTGTGGTGGGAACTGACAAGGCAGGATTTCCTATAACAGAAGCTCATAAGCCAATTGACTTAAAAGGATGTACGTATCTTTCTTAGATTGGCTAACCTGTTGCTCTTGAGGCGATTCTGACTCATAGCGACCCTATAGAACAGAGTAGAAAGGCCGCATAGGGCTTCCAAGGAGTGGATGGTGGATTTGAACTGCTAACCTTTTGGTTAGCAGCTGAACGTTTAACCACTGCCCCACCAGGGCTCCCTTAGATTGGTTACAGTTTGGTAATTACAAGGGCATGTGACAGGGGTGGGTGCTGCAGTGTAGTTATGTCAACATTGCCGGACATTCCTGTCTTAGAATTGCAGTGTAGGCACATCATCATTACCAGACATTTGTTAGTTTCATGATTATACCTGCACAGAAAATGGCTGTTGCTAGGGTGGATATGAAACTAGTCACAGAGGAGTCATACTCAAACCTCAAATCGACCACTTCTGACTTTCTTAGGTAATTCAAATTTTAACACTCCCTCCTTTTGATCAAGGATTTCAAAAGAAATTGTTTGATCAGTTCACTGACTACTATTCTGAAATAAGACTTTCTTCTCCATGGGCTTTGAGCATATGTTTTATTCTGGATGGCTGTTTATTTAATAATCCTTTAAGACCTCAGGTTCTGTGTGCATGAAAAAGTTGTTATTGTTGTTGGGTGCTATCAAGTTGACTCCAATTCATAGTGACCCCACGTACAACAGAACAAAACCTTGCCCAGTCTTGTGCCATCCTCCTTCCTAAGGAGCATTCTGTTTGTACTTCTTCCAAGACAGATTTGTTCATTCTCTTGGCAGTCCATGGTATACTCAGTATTCTTTTCCAACACCCTAATACAAAGACATTAATTCTTCTTCAGTCTTCCTCATTCATTGTCCATCCTTCACATGCATCTGAGGTGGTTGAAAATACTACGGCTTAGGTCAAGCACACCCCAGTCCTCAACATGACATCTTTGCTTTCTCATATTTTAAAAAGGTCTTTTGCAGAAGATTTGCCCAAATGTAACACATCGTTTGATTTCTTGATTGTTGCCTCCAACTGTGCATTCAAGAAGAAGGAGATCAGACTATGAATAGCAGCTATAAATATTAGTGGAATATTATGAAGAGATAGCTGGGCAGTACCTGACATCTTCACCATGTCATTGCTTTAACCTATTGCTTCTGTAGTTTTATTACTTGAGGGTTAGTGCAGAGCAGGCCACATTAGAGAAATAATCTGACATCTGATGGTTTACTCAAGGAGTGGGCTTGAGTCCGTCTGAAATATAAGTGCTGTCAATGTACATTATTCTTCTCATAGGTATTAAAAGGGATTTTTGGATAATGGTATTTGTCAAAAGTTTAACACAACATTTAATAGTTCCTACAATTATTACAATGACAATGAGTACTGTTAACCTGGTTAACAGTATAGACTTAATCCATGATCCAACACCTGAGGGTAACTAGCTGTAAGTATCTAGGAAAGGGAAGCCTGAGGGTGGAGATACATGGAGTCAAGTAGCCATTTGGCAAATTAGTTTAGTATCTTGTTCTGTCTCTCCTGAGGTGTTTATCCAGGTGCAGCAAGGCATGTTAGCTATAGCATAGACCATTCCTTGCTGGGCTAACCAGAAATCTAGGACAATTCAATTATCTAAAACTACTTTGATGGGTGAGTTCAGTGATTTCAGTCTTAATCACACCTAAAGAATTGCTGTGCTAACAGTTAAAGTAAAACTTTTGCTGAGTTCCTATACTTTATTTCTATCAATGGGAATTATAATTAAAAGGGAAAATGGAAGCCAAGCACTAGAAAAATACATTGAAATACGAAAGATCTTTCCCTAATGAAAATACATTAATATCTTAAAAGTCCAAATAAAAATATACCAGGTTACCAGAGACAAATTTGGATGTGACCTCAAAATCATTGTACAAGAATTATGAGAAAATAGCAGAGAAATGAGAGTGATGAAAATTGAGCTATTTTATATATATTTTTAAATGAGCTATTCGTTGATTCAATACATTACTTATTGGTACATTTGAAAGTGACTTATAACAAAATTCTATAAATATTTTATTATTAGCTAGCTTGTGATTATTAAAATATACATATTCTACACACACACACACACACACACACACACACACATGATCCTGGAATCTGTTTCAAATTAATCTAGAACAACAAACACTAAGTAACTTTGTCTATTTTTATAAAGATACCAGACTGATACAGTTGTTGTTGTTAGTTGCCACAGAGTGGACTCAGGCTCACAGCCACCTTATGTTGTTGTTGTCATCTTGTGCTGTCCTGTCTTTTCTGGCTCATGACAATCCCATGTGTTACAGAGTAGAACTACTCCACAGGGTTGTCTTGGTTGCAATGTTCACAGAAGCAGATCATCAGGTCTTTCTTCTGCGGTGTCACCGGGTGGATTCAAAATGCCAACTCTTTGGTTAGTAGCTAAGAGCAAACTGTTTGCACCACCCAGGGACCTTTTTGCACCCATTACATGTACATTCAAAAAATTAATAACAAAGGATACACTCAAAAAAATACTCAAAGTTCTAAATTTCAACTTGTTTTGCTCCTGGAGAATAAAAATTTTATTAAAAGTCTTCTTGTTGGCAGATTATGATAGCACAGACAGCGTAACATAACCTCTTTATTTAACAATACTGAATATCATGAAAGTGAAGTGATGTATGAAGATAAATTGAATGCAATTTTCTATCTTAGGAGCTTACAGTCTTATTAGGTAAGGAAGCATACATAAATGACATTCAAAGCAGAGATAATGTAATCACAAGGGGCAATGGGGAGGCAGAGACTATTTTGGGAATATACCCATATCTGAAATGCACTAATAATAAAGACACTAGGACAGACGATATATTTATGTTATATGTAAAATTTATCCAAAGTGCTCCCTTTTAGGTATATTTGATTATATACAGGTGAGTGACCTGTCTTAGGCTGGTGCCCTGTCATAGGCTGGGTATCTCTAGAGAAGCAAAACCAGGGAAGCATATTTATATATATATACGTATGTATATGTATATATATTTATAGAGCAAGAGAGAGGGAGGGAGGGAGAGAGAGAGAGATTTATCTCATGGAAATGGCTCATGCGGTTGCAGAGGATGGCAAGTCCCAAGTCCGTGAGTTAGGTGTCAGGCTGGAGGCTTTTCCTGACTCACATAGCTGCAGGGGCTGAAGAACCCAAGATAGGCAGGTCAGATGGGAGGCTGCTGGCTCACAGGCTGCGAAGGCTGACAAATCTAAAATCAGCAGGTAAATGGCAGGCTGCTGGCTCAGGTCCAAGGAAATAGAGGTAGATGCTGATAAGCCAAATGCAAGATCCAGAGCAGAGCAAAAGCCAGTGAGCTTTGACAGAAAGTCCACATATATTGGATGCAGGTCATACCCCCAAGGAAACTTCCTTTCAACTGATTGGCTATTCATACCAGATCTCATCATGGAAGTGATTACATTACATCAGTCTCATCATGGAGGTGATTACACCATTACACAACCACCAAACTACATCATAACTGCCAAACCACTGAGAATCATGGCCCAGCAAAGTTGACACAAAACTTTAACCATCACAAGCCCTAAAATGGGTATTAATTTATTTAATTTTATAGCTTATTGTAAATTTTGATAGTCTCTGTTTTAACCAGGTGGGCATACCAATTCTCAGATTATCCCCAGCTGTTCCTTAACCTTGTAA